AAATACCATGTAACCAAGTGGACCGAAGGTATGTAATTACCATTATTCCTTCCTCCCACACTTTCTTCGTCACCCGGGGGGGGGGGGGGGGGGGGGGGGGGGGTGAGATACCTAGCAATGTATGATGCTGCATATGATATATCTGGTTGAGTACATGTGGCTAACCACTGTAGACATCCTATCAACTCTTGAAATGGTCAAATTTCACTTTCCACCTCCAACATCAAAGGATTTTTTGCAGTAAGGGGTAGTGGCGTTTTTCGGTCTCGATGTAAGTCGTTTTCAGGGAACTTCTGAACTATCTTATCAATGTACGCTGGTTGGTTTAACCATATCGTCTTTTCTTCTCTGTTCCTTGTTACCTTCATACCTAGAATGGTACTTATCTCCCCCAGGTCGGTTATTATCCACCTTTTCCCTAGCCCATCGAAAATTTCCTTGGCTTCTTCCTTCGATTTCATGGCAAATACTAGATCATCGACATAGGCTAGCAGTATTGCTGCTCCCTTTCCTTCAATTTTCCCTTCTGGTCTATAGTAGAGACCCCACCTTGACTCAATTCTTGAAAACCCTAGGTGAGATAATCCTTCCCCAAGTTCTATCCACCATGTCCTACCCGATTGTTTTAAACCGTAAAGAGACTTTATTAACTTCAAGGTATTACATCCAGGTTTCGGTTTCATAGAGACAGGTCGCCCGCTACGCGGGCTCCCGCCCCTCGTGCTGAATCCCGTGAGCAGGCACAAAATCAAAATCACATGCATTCACATTTTACCTCCAAAAAAGCAAAAAATCTTGTAATCAAAGGAGAAGCTGACGAAAGACAACGTTTGGAGTCACTGTATCCTCCTTGCCATAATACACCCGGCCATCCTCCCTTTGCTTGAACCTCGAGACCGCGGTGTATAATTGTCCATGAGAAAACGCCGGGTTGGAAACGTCCAGCCCCACCCAATGCAGAGTCAACCCTTGGCAGGAGTTGACCGTTGTGGCATAGGCAGGAGCAAGAGGAAACTGTTTTTGCTGGAGGGTAAAGCCCTTCCTGGGCAAGGGGTATTCAAAGGTGATGCGAGGGATAAGGATCGTGTGAGGTTGAAGCATCCCAACACCATTGACACCACGAATGAGCTGGCAGGTCACCGTCTGACGACCCACCCCTGTCACCTTGAGGCGCACATTCTTCACCAAACCTCTTTCCTGGGAGAAGTTGCGGAGCAGGCGGACGATGGTGTTCACCTTGATGGACAACACATGAGGTGGCACCCCAGGAGGGGTCTGAGCATGAAGGAAATCCTGCTGCGTATGGGGCTGCAGAGCGCGGCTGTCCTCAGGATTGAGAGCTTCCACCTCCTTGATGGTGTCATGGGAGTAGCTGACACGCTCTTCACCATCAATGGTAGAGATGATGTTGGAGTTGTAGAGGTCACACTGGCGATTGGTGGCGCAGAGGATGGACCGGTGAAGGCATGCCACCGCATCTGACCGGATATGTTGTGGAAAGACAAAGTCGGTGAGGTCCTCCCCTGTGAGGGCGGTGGGTATCATGGACAGGTCAACCATGTCGTCCTGCAGGGGGGTAGTACCGTCGCCCACCATGTCGACCATGTCGGCAAGTTCGATGTCGTCTGCATGTCTGATGGGCGTGATGAGACGGTGGACAGTGAAGTGACGCCACAGGTAGGAAGTGCGCATGGACGCTTCCACGATCTCAGCCTGGGTCCCCCCTCTGATGACCGGGGCACACTGTCAAAAGTCTCCAAGCAGAACGAAGGGCTTCCCCCCAAAGGGCAGGTTGGGGTCACATGTGTCGCGCAGCAGGTTATCAACACAGGCAAGCACAGCCTTGTTGGCCATGGGAGCCTCGTCCCAGAACACACAGCACGCCTCCCGCAGCAGGTCCGCACGTGGGGAGTGGGGGGTAACCATGGATGCCAGCTCCTCGTTGCGCTCATTAACAGGGACTTTGAAGAGGGAGTGTATGGTTATCCCCCCCTCGTACAGGAGAGCAGCAAACGCTGATGAGGCCCCCACTAAGGGGATCTTGCCTTCGGAGCGCAGTCGGTCCAGGAGAGCAGCCACCAAGTAAGTCTTCCCCCTACCCGCTCTCCCATCGATGAACACACATGAGGGACGTCCCCCCATCACCGCTCCCATGATGTCATCGTAGATGGCCCGCTGCTCCGCATTCAAATGGTTGAGTCTCATGTCGGCCTGTTCACGCAGCTCCACCCGTCTGTCAGCAAAGAGGCTGATGTGATGCGCCACCTCCCCTTCAAACTCGTTTGGTACAGGCAGCCCAAAGTCCGCCAGAGACTTCCCATGCTCACCCAGCATCCGCCCTATCTCCTGCAACGCCCTCTCCTTACCCCTGTCCAGATCGTTTTGAGCGTGCAGGGTGAAATCCTGAGCCATTACCTCTCCATACTCTTCCCACAGCAGCAGAGGCCCTGGAGCGTCGTTCAGCAGCAGGTCCACAAACAGGCCCCTCAGGGTGGCAGGTGTCAAGAGATTGGCCAGCCCCTCCCGGAGAGCCATCTGCGCCTCGTTCTCAGCCACAAAGAGGCCCAGCATTCTTGCTGCCTCCTGAAAGGTATCATATTCTATGCCGTCCACAGTCTTGAGGTCGGCAAACGACCTGGCAGAGCGTGCATTGGCAATGGCACGCAGGTAAAAGAGCTCCCCTTGTGAGGCTTTGACCAAGGCAATCCTTGTAACATGAGGGTTCTGTCTTGGGACAACCACCTTGGGAACCTGATTGTCTGGGAGATCGGTCTCCTCATACATGGGGACACCTTCCCCATGCCTCGTACCCACAGTGTCAAGACGGCAGTGTCGAAAGTAGTCGCAGAATGTGAGATCATCAAAGGAAACTTGAGCCTGGTCGCCGGGGGTGAGCACAGTGAGGATGCCAGAGGGGCGATGGAAGTAGCGTAAAAGGGGGGACATGCTCCCCGCCTCACCCCGAGTGGCACCGTATCGTATTGTGTTACGTCCAGGGAGGTGGATCGGGAGGCATTCCACTCCAGGGTACCGGTCTGATATGTTGTAACCCAGTATCCTCCAGGTTGCCTCGCTTGCGGAGAGGTGACGGCCACGTTGGAAATGCTCCGCCTCATTGTAGACCTCTCCAGCAACAATTGCAATACGGGAGTAGTCCGGACCCTTGTTGACATACTTGAAGAGGTATTGGAAGAGGGCGGACGTGCTGGCAACATCCACATTGATGTGGCACTGGTGACGCCTGAGCAGCTGTATGTTGTAGCTCGCCACCCATTCATCGCCAGGGTTCAGCCTCCTGTACTTGACACGTCCAAGCTTGTCCATGGTTGTCGTGGGTTGAAGGGGGTGGGGGAATCCAAAGCGACACACAGGCTCCCCGTTGATTGTGCGCCTGCAGTACTGGGAAGGACCCCCATCTGGGTGACGGTGCATCATGAAGCAAGTGACCAACGCTCGGTCGGCAGGGTCAGAGGGAAGGGAGGCAGAGGCCACAGAATCAATGGCTTCGGTGGAGATCAGGTCGCGAGGGTAGCAAAGGAGGATGTGGGCGTGAGGGAGCCCTCGTTTTTGGAATTCAATGACTTTGATGCTGTACAGGGGTGATCCGATGTCAGGGAACAGGTTGCGAAGGTCCTTCATGATGAGTAGCAGGCGTTCGTGGAAGACACGCGCAACAATGACAGGCTTGTCTGTGTAATCCTGCCCGGGTCGCAAGGAGGCAGATATTTCAGGCCAGTTTGGGTTACAGGTGACAGTCACAAAGAGAGTGGGCTGCCCATACGCAGCAGCCAAAGCAAGGCAATTAGCCACATTCCCTTCCGCCCAAGCTCTCCCACCAACAAACCCCATTGGCAGGTAGATGTTCTAGTCTTCAGGGATGTCACTGAGAAGGGTACTGGTTGGGGAACTACGGCTGACTTTGCCGTAGTGGAACGTTGAATGGTAAACAATAAGATGATCGTTGATGAACTGCAGCTAACTTTGCTGTGGTGCGTCAAACTGCTGAGTGGTAGCTCTCCTTGACTCAAAGGTGGTAGCTACTGGATATATCTCTTGCTACTGACAACAATCAAGGGTCGCTGAAGAAGCTTAGCAATCTGTAAACTATCTATACTTCTCCTCTCTCCTCATGATATCCTGCTCCGCTGACTTAGCCGCACTTTGTCTTGCTCCCTCAATCTCCTTCTCCTACCTTTGTTGTAGTTCTTCGCTAGGCGGGGTTGTTGTGACAAATACCCTTTAGGTTCTCATAACTTCCTCGTAGTTGGTCTCAGTGGTTTGGGTGGTGGTGGTTGATGATGGATAGTGGTTTGGTGATGGTGAAAGGAGAGTCAGTGATGGTAGTTGTCAGGGATGTTATGACATGGTTCGTGACAGATGATAATACAGAGGGGAAAAAGAGCACGCATCAATTCTACATGTCTCTATATTTATCACATTCCACTCACACACAGTAAACCAGGGACAATCGAATAGAGTTCAGAGGATAAGTTGAATGCCGGAATGTTTGACAGAAGGGGTAATTATCCAACGGCGGTTCGGCCGTCCTGGCCCGATTCTATCGTCTAACAGGGTTGCAGGTTGGGTTGAAATCGATGGAACTCTCGTGGAAATCTGGGTGTTTCTGGTGCTAGGTGATGGATTGTGTCTCCTCTGCAATTGATGTGGCCAAAGAATAATATTGAGGAATCAGCAAAGTACCAACTTTGCTGATTGTACTATATACTGTCTACAGGTGTCCACATCTCTGTTCCCCTGTTTCTCCTACTGCAAGTTTCTAAGTACATACGCAGACAGGTAAAAAAAACCGCTTTTGAGCAAACCCAGGGGGAAATTTCAAAAGGGAAAACCCGTCCCTACCTAATTGCAGCACTGCCTCCAAATCCCGCCCATCTCTATCCTAATCCGTCGAGTTTGATGGATCTGCATCCAGTCGTTGTTACCCCGTAACAGATTAGTCTCGACAAAACAAAGAGGAAGTTTGTCTTACTAACAGTGTATCAACCATATACTGGATGCACATACGTATCTTGAGGCATTAATCCTGGGTGTCTCAAAACATATGTGTCTCCCTCATCCCCTTCCCCTGCCTCTCAGGTGCACTAACTGGACCCTTGATATTACTACGCAATGGTGGTGGACCTTCACTGCTTAAACAATTCATGGACTAAGTCTTTGGCGTCACGTTTGTCACGTTCCAATTGGGTCAAACACCCCCGTGACGCAGCCCGATTCTCAATAGCTTGGGAATACACATGCGCCACCCCCTCGGAGATGTTGGAGAGAGGGAGCATGGAAGGTAGCTGTGTTAACTTACTTTGCACCTCAAGATGACTCTGCTCTTCACACGGTGTGGTACAGGCACAAGCACAATTACTTTCATCAATTGGAGAAGTGAGAAGTGTAAGTTTCACTGGATTTTCCTGATTTATAACGGTCCGTGGACTCCGTGTAGTTAATTGCTCGTATGACAAGTGTGAACCAACACACGTCCAAGCATCATAGAATTGTCTTTTCTTGCCACTAAGCTCAGATCTCATTATGATGAGGATACCAGTAGATGTCCCTGACATTGCAGCTTTTTGGGTCGCTTCACCTAGTGCCTGCCACCTGCTCAGCTCTTCCGGTGTGGTCGTCACCAGGCCTTTCAGGGTTTGAAGCCGGATCGACTGATCCCTTTTGCGCGTACCTGTCCCCGTCGAGGAGCCGATACCGGACATCTAGAACCGAGTATGTTGTTTCTGTTTTCCTACTAGGGAAAAGGTATGTGGTATGAGAAAGAAGGGGAGGAAAGTTACAACTTATCAAGTCAGAAGGAGATGAGTGAAAAATGGAACTCCACGCGGATATCCCTCCCGCATTACAAACGTAAAAATCGATCCTTTATTCAGCGGGATGGAAATAGTGGGAAGAAGCCGTAATGACGTCGTGCGTGCGGTAGGAACAGGTAGTGAGGACATCTATGGGTTCCAGGAAGCCTTCTCGACTTTGGCAGGCAATCAGGATGTGGTGAGTAAACGGGTTTCTCCCCTGTTTACATCTTGTCAGGATCACGGGTACCTGGTTACGGGAGTGTAGTAGTCATACTTCTTTTTCATTGACTGTGTCCTCTCCTACTACCCCTATTCCATTTTCTCACACCACATGATACTTTTCCTCGATCCCCGTGTCTCATATACATCCCTGTCTTACTTCACTCTTCTACCCCATATCCATTTCCGTCTTTACTCTGTCGCATCGGTATCACCCCGTTCCCCTTTTCCCATATATGTAGATGCAGTTTACTTCCATAGCCCCCTTGTCAAATGTATTTTGTGTTCTTTAGTGTTATCTTTCGCCACTCAATCTCAATAACCTTTCAGGTCTTTTAGATCTTCTACATCAATAGGTTTGTCCCCTATGAGGCCTCTACAGCCATAGCACAAGTGAAGCAGACTAGCTAAAGAGATGGTAAAGATATGAAGGATAATGTGTGAAAACGGGTGATGAAAATGCATGAATTCCGGGTGTGCAAAGTCGTGTCTACCGTGTGTTGCCCTCCGCCACAGGTATAGTGTCACCTTGCCATCAGGAAAGACCCATCTCCCTTTGCATGAGCCGTGCTTTTACAGACAAGATTTGCTTACCATTTCTCAAGCAAAGGAAATACCAATCTTTGCAGAGTGTCCGTTACAGGGATATCATGCGGGAGGTAGTGATTCTGACATCCATATGGCTTAATGCCGGCCAACACACGTAATACTGACCAAGGCATATGACCTACTCATAGGGCGCAAAAGTCCTGTCCCAACCCCAAATTCACAGCCAAAATTGCTCTTTTTCCCATAACATTAGTCGGGAAGCCACTACAAAAGGCATGCATGCAAAGGAATGAGTAAGATGCTGGATGTTCTACTATCATCTCCATGGAAGCATAGAGCTGTCTTCCTGCAGTTTGGTTTGGTACGGGTGGCTGCAAAAGACTCACCTGCTATTCACAGCCAGGGGAGGGGACAGGACTTTTGCGACCTACCGAGTAGATAAACATTTTCCAAAACATCTTGATTCCAATGGCCTGCACAAGCAATATTTTGAGCTGATACACCTTCGATTTTGGCCAGCTGAGTTCCTCCAGCTCTATTGATATGTGTCTTTTTTCCCGTATTGACTTGTGTGCTTTTCAAAGCCTGAGTAATTGGATCATATTGTGCTTTATACATGAGCTGATCTGTATGGGAATAAAACAAATGTTGGAGGAGTTTATCATTGTACCATGTGTCACAAGAACCAAGTTTGGGAAATTCCTCTTCTCCAAGGCTGCCGGCTTGAAATTTAAGTGGATTAACATTCTGTCACGAACTATGTCGTAACATCCCTGACAACCACCATCACCGACCCTCCTTTCACCATCACCAACCACCACCCAAACCACTGAGACCGACTAGGGCAAAGTTACGAGAACCAAGAGGGTATTTGTCACGATGTCATGAATAGTGATAAGGAATTCTGACTCATGCTCAGAATAGTGATAAGGAAATATGACTCATGCTAGGAACTGTGATAAGGATTGAAGGAAAATATGAGTCATGGTATTTAGCAGTTCAGCAGTGAGGCATTTACGTGATTGGCTGAAGCCTGGAAGGTTCAGCAGTTTAGCAGTGAGGCATTTATGTGATTGGCTGGAATTAGTTTCCCACGGTGCACTCACTTTGAGGCATTTATGTGATTGGCTAGAAAATCCCTCACACGCTTTTTATTTAGTACACCTACTTTAGTTTTGAAGGGTATATAAGGAGCACATCTCCCCCCTCTTTCTTCAGCAATGTATCTTCATCTTGAAGTTGAACTTCATCTTTGAAAGTCACCTAGTTGGTTCTAACCCAACACCTCAGTACCCTCAGTACCTAAGGCAGTCATCAAGCTCTACGAGCCAGAGACTAAAACCCTTCAGTACCCAAGGCAGTACTTTGCTACCGCAGTCTACCCGCAGGCGTGACACACGACAACCCCGCCTAGAGGAGAACTACGGCAAAGTTAGGAGAAGGGAATTGAGGGAGGGCAGAACAGGGAAAGTTAGGCGAAGTTAGTCGAGGTGAGCGGAGTAGGACATCGGGGATATGGCGAGGTACGGCGAAGTTGAACGAAGAGGACTGAGCGTGAGGCAGTGCAGGAGTTGAGGGACGTTCTATGAGAAGAGAGGAGCAGTATAGATAGTTTACAGCTTGCTGAACTTCTTCAGCGATCCTTGATTGTTGTTAGTAGCGAGCGATATATTCAGTAGCTACAACCTTCGAGTTAAGGGGAGCTACCACCTAGCAGTTCGGCGTACTACGGCGAAGTGAGCCGCAGTTCATCGACGATCACCTTATCATTTACCACTCGACGTATTACTACGGCGAAGTTAGCCGTAGTTCCCCCGACGAGTACCCTGTCCTAGTGGGACATCGACGCCCCACTACGACGTAGTTAGCCGAGGTTTGTCAACCGTCAGTCAGTAGAGGAGAAGAAACGACAACTGTGACACATTCATATTATTTTAGCTCAGCCGACGTTGGCCAACATTCACTCACCAGGCAAATAGGTGAACCGCTAAGATACCCACAGGACACATAAAAACATCTTTGTTGAGTAACAACCCCAAATACTCCACTTTGCCATACTTATCAACTTTCTCACATTGACCAACACACACAACAACTACTATGGGTGCTGGTCCCTTGTTGTCCCACACAGTGTACGCCAAATCCAAAAGATCCATGCCTTGTTGCTTATGACCCCGGTAGAGCACTTACAAGCCTAGAGTGTGGGCTACAGCATCATGAAGGCCTTGCTCGGTATCTTGAGAGACATAAGCACTGAAACAATCTTCAATTTGTTTTCTACTTTCAGATCCGTCAAAGATGGTATCTAATAATTAATTATGTGCTTAGCTCTCCTAACTTACTGCTTGTCTTATCAATGAACAAACCCCTTTTTGTTTGTTCATCTACTTGTTGTAGGACCAACAAGAGGCTTTTCATTGCTGCTGAGTGCGGATGAGGATGGCTATCCATACCTTTGTATTTTTGCTGTTTCCATAAACTTACCAGAGCAGCTACATGAAGTTTAATTGACGCTAAACTTTGCGCCATTCAGCTGAGTTTCAACAAAACTGGCATTCAGCAAGCACTTTATGTTATACGTAGCAAGTGAACACACCACTTTCTCTAGCTGTTGTTGTAGGCACTTTTCCTCCTCAAGTTAGATCTTCAACCACATCTAAAGCTTGCAGTTGACTTTCCTCCACCATATCCAGACTAGTTTCAACATCTTCAATTGAGTATGTTGGCAATAGATCAGAAATTGCTGCTCTTGCTCCAGAAGCTGATGTTTCTGCTTCCTCAGGTGTACTTTGTCGTTGTTGTTTGCTTATGTCTGTACCATTATTTGGGTAAAATAACACTTGAGTATATATCCATCTAAGGGCGTATTTTGGTGTAACCATACCTCTGGAACAATTAGCCTCTTTTGATTGTACCTACTTTGCCCCATCAAGTGATCTGCCACCAATGTTGGCCGGTGTTGGCCAATTCATACGAAGTCACATACCCAGTGCTGAACTTCATGCTTTGGCACCATTCTTGCCATCTGTGTATGCGTACTTGATAATGAGCTTGTGTTGAGGAAGAATTACTCATTTTCCAAGTTCCCCAATGTCTTCTTGCCAATTATCTGATGTATTCCAACAATCTGCATGTCACGCCTGTTGAACAACTATCTTCTAGTGGACCGACGGTTGGCAAACCTCGGCTAACTTGACACTTCTAAGTCGATCTCTCACCCAACCAGGAGGGCGCAGACGTTGAAAGGAGAGTAACTACGGCGTACTTCAGCGTAGTTACTCTAACTGGGGTTTTGTTCTACTGATGGCAATGTATCTCGATTGTATATAGCTATCTCTATCTGTCTTTCACTACTGACAACAATCAAGGATTGCTGAAGAACTTCAGCGATCTTCTCAGTTAATATTATCTACTCCTCCTAGACGATCATCCAACCCTCTCGCGCTTTGACGTACTTCAACGCGCTTCGTCCAACTTCCCCGAGCCCCCGGCCATCCTCTTCCTCCCTCAACTAACTCCGCCTAACATCGCCGTACTTCTGCTCCCATTGTCCCTACCTAACCCAACTCCGTCTAACTTCGCCGTACTTGGTCTCAGATGTCCTGAGTTACGTGTAGAGTAAAGAGGTTAAGGCGTGATAGGGGTTTTGATGGTCAAAGGAGGGTCATTGTTGGTGGAATAATTGTTCGAATGTGTACGACGAGTACGATTACGATGATAGTAAGAATCGCATCGAAGACTACGGATGGTATCGTATCTATAAACAGTTTCAAGTTGTAGTTACTAGTTACGTGGCATTACTTATCAACACTCCCCCTAATGACACTAACTCCAATCAATAGACAAACTAACATGTTCTAAACCAACTAATGAGATCGTATCGTAACCAATGGGATCCGTATCGCAGACCTGGACGTACAGGATGAAAAGGCATGAATCACGAGCAAACCAGGAAATCTCGTGTGCACAGTACGAAGTGTTCGGTACGACGCTCTATGCGTCATACGATTCGAGCGATGTCAAGTTCGAATCATGTAGATCGTAATCCGAATTGACAAGATGAGTGAGGGAGGTGAGAAGGGATATAGAGTGTGGTGTTGAATCGTGTACGAGTCAAACTCGAAGACAGTTCTTTTCGT